TATTGCTCTCAGAAGGCCTGGGATAATACGGTTAGATGGAAAACACGGAGTCGGAGTTCCGGAGTCGGAGTCCCGGAGTCGGAGTCCCGGAGTCGGAGTCCCGGAGTCGGAGTCCCGGAGTCTGACGTCATAAAAATATGGAAAACACGGAGTCATATGGAAAACACGGAGTCTGACGTCAGAGAAAAATATGGAAAACACGGAGTCATATGGAAAACACGGAGTCTGACGTCATAAAAATATGGAAAACACGGAGTCATATGGAAAACACGGAGTCTGACGTCATAAGAATATGGAAAACACGGAGTCATATGGAAAACACGGAGTCTGACGTCATAAAAATATGGAAAACACGGAGTCATATGGAAAACACGGAGTCTGACGTCAGAGAAAAATATGGAAAACACGGAGTCATATGGAAAACACGGAGTCTGACGTATTGTCAGCGTGAAATATGGAAAATAGTAATTAAATAATATATAATTTATGCGAATATAAACAAACGGACGAATTTATAATATAACGAATTGGAAATTTTCTGCACTAATTCTGGTATTTCTCTAAAATGTCGTGAAAATATGGATTAATTATTTTTAAATACAATCAAGCAAATAATATTGTTTCTCTAGCTTTTCGTGTGACTTGTTCAGTTGTACAATATTTGAAGTGATTTTAATGCGGATTTTGTTCACCTCGCATGGTATGTTGATAAAAATATAGTTTATATACTTAATACTGCTAGAATATTTCATAGTCGATTAGCATGTAATATTTATAACACACAAAACAGATATGCTGCTTGGAAACAGCGTTGTTATTTATGCACCTATCAATGTTAAGCCCAATAAATACTATATTAATAACAGTCATTTGATTTTTTGAGCAAATTTTCAATCAAATGCCCCACCGTCGGGCAATAAATATTGGTCAAATGCCCCACCATTTTGCAATAAATTGCAATAAATACTATATTAATAACAGTCATTTGGTTCAAATTGCCCCAACTCAGGGCCAAAATGCTAATCAAAATCCCCAGGGTGGGATGCAATTGATGATCAAATACCCCCACATATGCCCCACCTACCCCCCTCTGGGAGTTAACATTGGTAGGTGCATTAGGCCACATAAAATAAATATAGAAATTTTGTATTTCATAAAGTATTACAATATCATACAATGCTTTTGAAAGGGATAATTTTAAGTGAAACCCACCTGTTGTGGACTTAAAATAAAATTGTAAACTGATGATCGATGCAGAACCACTGGGATAGGGATATTGCTAGGAATATTGCTAGGGATTGTGGCACACTATAAAATTAAGAAATTTACGGATTGTTTCATTATAAACACTGGAATGCTCATACTGGATGGTTGTACAATAAGCAAAATTTGCCTTAGTAAAGTAAGCCAGTATCTAGGCTGGCTTACATAATTACATATAAACATCCCCTATAATCCTATACTATAGTTGGAAAAAATTTTTGTTAGTAGCGGATATGCATGCACCACCGGTCATCAGGAGAGTTCGAAGCGAACATGTGCCATGGTTAACTTCGGAAATCAAAACAAAAATGTATTATAGGGATTTTCTTAAGAAAAAAGCAATCAAAACAGGTTCAACCCACTTTCATAATGCATACAAAAAGGCTAGAAATAATTTGAGCAAGTTAGTAAAAGATACAAAAGCGAATTATTACAATAATGCGATAAATCAATGCAATAAGGATCCAAAATCTATGTGGAAAACTATCAATCAATTAACAAACAAGAAATCGAAAACAACTAAAATTAATGAACTGATAATCGACCAGAAAGTTACAACAAATCCAGATGAAATAACAGAAGGTATGAATAAATATTTCAATGATATTGGAACCGTTTTGGCTGATAATCTCTCAAATGGGCATAATAGTTTTAAGGCGTATGTCAACCCTACTGAAACTACATTTGAAATTCAAAACATTTACGGATTGTTTCATTATAAACACTGGAATGCTCATACTGGATGGTTGTACAATAAGCAAAATTTGCCTTAGTAAAGTAAGCCAGTATCTAGGCTGGCTTACATAATTACATATAAACATCCCCTATAATCCTATACTATAGTTGGAAAAAATTAAGAAGTAAATTTCCCTTCAATATATGCAATTTGTAGTTATAGTTGTATATATAGGCACAAAAATGGCTGAAATAGTTTAAAATTCAATAAATTGGGTTGACATGAAAATATTCTACCAACTGTTTTTGTAGCCATAGGTGCATGTTAATTTAAACCATGCAATTAATGCTCAATATATCTTACATATACTATTGCATTGACAGTAAAAATATTATAGACTAGAAAATATTTTTAATAGAGCAAAAACAATTGGTTTTAACAAAACTTTGTTTTCTGCCTGGAATATCAATTGCTACTAACAGTTAAAATACATTATTATACATATTTCTTTAGGAATTAATAAATGGTCTAAATGAAGAAACAGTTAGACGTCTGGCTGTTGAATTGTTAAGACGCCAACCTGCAGTGTTTGCTGACTTAGTAAATGGCGAGTTACCAAACAATGTCAACACAGATACACCAGGAGAAACAGGGCCCCCAGAAAGTAGCGATTCGCCTGATTGGTGCAAGTGTGGTTTGTGTGTAGCCATGCCAACTCAAGCGGAAAATAAATGCTGCACGCAAGTTGTCCGAGAATGCATAACAATAGACCCATTATTCCATCAGATTGTATTAGACGGAAATATTTTAGATGTGGCAATGAGGTATATGGAGGACATGTTGGCAATGGAAAATCCACGAAATAATGAGAACTTCAGGCATGCTGCGTATAGACAATTTGTTCTTTGGCAGCATGGGAGACTTGGGCAAGGCAACAGGCGGGTAGTACCAAGCTGTTGTGTAAAGGCAATAAGAAACCGCTACCCATCACCTAATGGTATTTATGTAGGTTTTAGGCCAACAAGGTTGTAGGCCAATATAATAACTGTTGATCAGTCTGACAGAACATTGCACAATAGTAAGAAAAACTTGTATCACAATCACATAATAAATATTGTAATTTTTATTCGAAATGCTATAGCCAGCAAATCACACAAAAAATACAGTACTTTCATTGTTTCAGAAATGCTTGCCGCCTGCGTAGCCTGGCTGTTGTCCGGCACGCACGGCAGACTAAAATCAATGTTTGTGAAACAAACCAAAAAATTTGTCAATTAGCTCTAATCCACAATCTTAAAAGAGTAAAAAAAATTGGGTGAAGCAAGAGTTTTTTTGTTACACATTGTAAAATATAAACAAACTTTGACCTATGGTATTTTAAGACCTATTGATGTTAATATGTGTTATACTGTAAGGTTAGACTGTGTGTGCATTGTTGAATACATTGCATGACAACATATATTTTTACACCTATGAAAGATGCTAAATGTGTGGTAGAGACACAGTACTTACTGTACATACTGTGCAGCAAGAAACCATTGTTCATATTTAAATTAAATATTTGTTATGGATGAGCACAATTAGAATCTGGACTTATGTACTTGTAGCAGATGTTCAATACTTGGTCTTGGCGTTACTGCAATGTTTGCAGCGATGTTCCTTGGGTCATCTGCACCTCTCACAATTTTTCTGTTAACATTTCCAGTTTTCAATTGCTCCTCAAAGATCTTCACAATAAGCGTCGGGATATAACCATAATCCTTTGGTTGAAGCACAGTAACTGCATGGTCGCCACTGTTTTGTACGCTTGCTGTACTGGCCACGGTGTCTGACATTAAAAATAGAAACTCAAAATAAAAATATAATAAAATATAATTATATGCATTTGAAGAACATTCAAGACATTGTTAGCACAGTTTGCTACTTCATGTTGTATACATACAAGATTCAACCTAAATCTTGTAACCAGTTAGTATACATATTTTTTTGGCAAGTTTACCCATTTTCTCAAATGTATTCTGATAATGCAGCTACATGTATAGTATTATAGCAAATACAATTCTATACTGTAATCTATGCGAAACCCTCCCCCCCCCAAAAAAAAAATTTAGTTACATACACAATTTCTCCAGCAGCATTTTTACAAGGCTGTCGATTCCTATGGCTATTGAAGTCGATGACAGCCAGTTGATTCCTTAACTTGTATCCAACATACCTAAGAAGTAAAATAAAAATTGAACATTTCATTCAGACTTTATACAAATAAAATCATCTGGCATTAGAAAGTAAAACAACGCAGGACAGCGCATAAGTTAATGAAACTGTCTGCCAATGTGATATCTGGTACAGTACTCTCTCTTCTTAAGTACCGTAACACACTAAAATGTAACCCAC